TCTTTAATCACATCTAAATTATACATGTCTGATCTTTCATCACATCTGATTGTCTGTTTTTTTATATATATATACCTGAGGGTAATAAAACTGAAGAGAAGTTACAGTATAACAAAACTTCATGGATCTCTGGTTCAGCTTAGAGAAAACAGAGCTGAGTTCAAAGTCAAGTTGAAAATCTASCTCTGCTACTTCTTAGATATGTGACCTGTAGCAGGTCAACAACCTCACTGAGACTCAGCTCCTTTATTTGCTAAATGCAGAAAATAGTAGCTAATTGGTAATATGAACACTTATAATTAAATGAATAAATATAYAAGAGCCTAGAAACATACCTGGCACATATGTACTCCTTCCAAGTGCTTACTCACTTTGTTCATTCAAAATGCTTGATACTTCTAACATTTCCTTATAGCAAATAAATTATCTCTACCTTCATTAATATTTTAAGAAATATAAATTTAAAAAATAATTGTTTCATTTTCCACCAAACTGGCACATTTTAAATATTAGTAGTTAACATTTACTGAATTTATACTATCCTTAAGGTATTGTGATGATTTACTTGCTTTGTTTCATTTAACCTTCACAAGAGGGTAATATTATCCAATTTTACAGATTAGAAAACTAATGGACACAGAGTAAAGAAACTTGATCAATGTCATTCTATTAGTAAGGATCAGAGATTGGCACATATCAAAAAAAAATAGGCAATGGTGATTAGGTAGCAGTGATATTTACACTGCTAGTAGAAGTAAAATGATTACACTTGGGGTAGAGGGTGTAGCTCAGTGGTGGATCATTTGGTTAGCATGAGTGAGACTCTGGGTTCAATCCCCATCATCAGAAAAATTAAATAAATTACCATTACTTATCTATAAAAAGTCATTTGAACATGTATTTGGAAAGTMTTTAGAAAGTTAATGTAATCTGACCTGGTAAGTCTTTTTGGAATTTATCCTGATGAAATAAGCCAAAATATATTTAAACATTTAAAGATATTTGTGATCCTTAAAGGATCTTTGATTTGTAATACTGAAAATTAGAAAAAAAATCTAGTAGGACAATGGTTAAGTAAGATATGGTCTTTATAAATGACAGAATGTTACAAATAATTTAATTTTTTAAAAATTTATTTTTAATGACATGGTAAAAATGCTACCAACATCATAAAACAAGTACATCAGAATATTTGCAATGGTTACCTCTGAGTTATATATTTAAGAGTTGGTTTTGATTATTTTTTTAAAAAAATTTTTTCTATATTCCCCAGTTTATCTACTTTGAACAAATTACTTTTACAACTGGAGAACTGGAGGTATGAGTAGAGAAAACAAATTTTCTTTTTTTTCAGTGTGCATTATTTTTACTATACCTGAATCAATTTCAGTTTATTAAATATTTCTTGAGATTAACCAAATAGAATTGGTAATTTATAGCAATGGGCCTCGGGGATATAATTTGGTAAATCCCATTAAGATCCAAATCCAGAGCTCAGGCTCTGGAATCAGATCTGGATTTGAATCCTATCTTTTAACATTTACTGTCTATTTAACCTTGGGCAAGTTATTTAACACTTCTAAATATTTCTTTGTTTTAAAGGGAGGTTGTAAGAGTTGTACTGAGAATTAAATGAGTCAATATAAATAAAATATGYAACACAGTGCCCAGCATATTGCATACACTCAAATGTCAATCAGTATAAGTACTAAATACATTTTTGATTTGTTTCTCCTACCTTTCTTGATGATGTCAACAATTTCCCAGCATTCTAGGTCAAAGTATTCTAAATATCTTTGCATATAATGCTTCCCTAGTTACTTTATGATTGTTATCTAAGTGTCTATTATTCTGTAAAGTTTTTTTAAAAGTATCTCTAYAATTGATCTTTCATGAATTTTGGGTGCAGAAAACATAATAATGGAAAACTGCTAAAATTCCATGTAACTTCGTTATGATTTAAAACTAACTCCTGTTTAATCTACAAGCATATGAGTGTATGCAGTCATAGAATTGAGCCAATAGTACTTATCTAAACCCTTTACTTTGATTTTATGTAACTGCATTTGGAAATATCCATAGCTCATGGTACACTTTGGTAAAGAAACCAGGTTCCTTGTACCTTAACTGGTTCTTTTCCCCTCTATCACACTGCCAAGTAATACTTACTTTGCCATTACTTTTATTTCTTGATCAAATTGTTTTTTCAATTCTTCAGTACTAATGTCTACCATCTGAAAAAATAATATGCAGTTTAATACAGTATCATTATCCATGGCTTCTAAAGCTGAAGCAGCTCAAGAAATAGCTGGCTGATCTGCTTTCKTTAAAACAATAAGGTACTATTTTCCTTATTTGTAGAACAACTGATATATAGAAATTTTAGTGTTTTGCTCAAGGTCCATGGTTTATCAGAAAACAGAAAAAAATTATGAGCCTCCCTAAGTTACTGTGAAAACAAAATAGAATGAGACTTCACTGCATAGAAATTTTGAAGTAACAGAAAACCAGYAAATTTGAATGCAAAAAGAAAATAAAATATTTGAAACATATATGAGAAAGAATGACAATGCATATATATGTGATMTATTAATATTTTTAGGATATAACAACAGATTTAGAGTATAACAAATCAAAAAGTAAGGGGTGAATATGTAAATAGAAATGGGAACAAAGAATATAGACAAGAAGATTTCTAGTCTTGATATATATTTTCTAAACTATATTTTTAAATAAGAAAAGTAATACAATATATATATATATATATATAAATTTTCTTAGTATCATTTTTATTTTGATTACTCATGAGGTACTATGTGGCGCAGGATTTCTCAATTTTATTTTGCACATCTCTCAAAATTGTATGTATGATCATATGCATGTGTGCAAAATATTTTTTTCTAGGGATGGGGTCCACACCTCTCAATTGAATTTTAAATGTTAAGGACTACCAGCTTTAGGAAGGCATTTATTAGAAGAAAATACATGGCGAAATAACATATTTCCTAAAGATTAATGTAAAGCTTGTTATATCACATACTAGGAAGCAACTATTCCTTTCATTCTTTTCCTCCTAAAAAACATTACTTACAGCTGCCAACTTCTTCACTGCCACTGCTKTGTTGTTCACATAGCCTTTATATACAACTCCAAATCCTCCCTCTCCCATTTTATTGCCACCAACAGAAATGGGCCGTTCATCAAAATTATTTGTGACATTCTTCAATTCATAAAATGAAAAACTATGAAAACCTAAAATGCCAATAAAATAAGGAAAAAGTTACTAAATAMAAAGGAAATTAGTTTTAATAATTTTGATGTTTTCTCAACTTAATATTTCGTACATATGCAAATACAAAAGAAAAGACAGGAGAGATGGGATGGGGTAAAACCATGTTTAAAACACAAATTTTAAACTTTATTATGAAAATTATGCTTAGTGATCTTACCAACCAAACATTCTAGTTACTACCCAAAGTGAAGTCACATAATTTCTTTAAAAAAATGTCACTTGCAAGTTATGGAAATATTTACTTATTTTTCCCTAGTTTCTATGTTTTGTTTTGTTTTGTTTTTGTGGTACTGGTTCTCAAACCCAGATGCATGCTAGTCAAGCACTCTACCTTTGAGCTATATCCCCAGCCTACCACTTTCTATGTTGTTTTTTGTTTTTGTTTATTGCATATCTTTACCTCTAATCACTGATACTTGTTAATGCAATGAAGATAATACATAATAAATGAAGAGGGGAAAAAAAGCCCATGTTAGAGCTATTGCCAGTGTGCCTTTGACAGCTAAACAAATGAAAGAAGGAGAAATTTATTTTAAAACAGTGATTGTCATCATGACAAATTTACTAGTAAAGAGAGCAGTGAAAATGTTACTTACGTGTATCACTAAATTCTAAACTTTTATTTTCTGGACTTGAAGAGTCAGGTAGCACATGGTTTTGTTSAAGATTCTGCACAGGTATCACAGATGTCCTGTCTTTTCCATAGAAAGGCATCTGTTTTTGCTGAACTGTTGTAGCTTCTGTACAAGGTACAGCATGAACAGTTTTGGGAACAGCATCTGCAAAACAGAATAAAAAACAAAACAGAATAAGAAACACTTATTCCTTCCACAAGAAATTGTGTGTAAAAAAGTTCAACTAGGAACTCAGTTTAATTAATAACATTTGAATTTTCAGAGGTTGGCACTATATTTTGACAGCATACATAAGAAGCTRCCTAGTAAGAACTTGTCAGTCACAATAAATATTGGTATAGTAAGGCAGTGTTTACAAAATGTGGCTCATGTGCCACCTGCACCAGAAACACTGAAGTACTTGTTTAAGAACATAGACCTTGAATCTAACTCCAGAATTTCTGACTAGGTCTGGAAAAGACCTCCTTGTTCAACAAGAACCCCAAATGATTCTTATGCACAATAAAGATTGAGAACCACTGGTATAAAGGGCGTCAAAGGGAGAAAGTTAAGGTTATAAGGAAGATAACTAGACACTAACACACTACAATGCAGTGTGGGGAAATCATGATGATAGAGTGTCATCAAAGTGGAATTTGAAGGTGGAAAAAACAAGAGCTCAAAAGAATAATTTCCTACAGCCTACACAAGTTCTAAACTTCCCGATGGCACAGAATTATCTAATTTTAATGGTGGAGATCAGACTCACTTTAGCAGCAGTCTGAAGTGTCCTGTGTCTGCTTGTTAAAGAGTTTGGGAGAGCTGAAAGAATGAAAGGAATTCTTAAATGTAAGGTTCATTTAATATGAGAAAGAAAGTAAGAGTAAGTAGAAATGTTTCCATTTCTGCCATTTGTCTTTCTACCCTAATTGTTGATACCCTGGTCACACTCAGTTTACCTGGAAGCAAAAGACTTGCAGGAGCAAAAAACTCATTTTGGATCAAAAGATCCACAAGATCACCAACTGTGCAATTTGTGGTACCCCAGTCAAACAGTAATTCACAAGTGGGACTTTTTCCAGTTTGAAGTAATGCTTCAAATCTCCTTAAAAGCAAGTAACAAAGAAACAAATTAGGATATAATTTGAGTTCATATGAAAACAGGAATTAGCCTCCTTTCTCCTTGTCTTGCTTACAGAACCTCCTATAAAATTAAAGGGAAGGGATAGCAGGAGAACAAGCAAAAATTACCACAAGCCAGGAAGGAGAGGCAGGAGAAAAGATGCTGAAGATAATAATAAAAGTTAACATTTACTGAGTACGTAGTGGGCTACAGGATGCAAATGCATGAACTTGTTTAAGGATATTATGATTACCATTTTAATTAACTAATGAGAAATCCAAAGTTGGACTGGTAGAGTAACCAGTCCAGGGTCACACAGCCAATAAGATACATCCAAGGTGAGATCCAAATTCAGATTTCTCTTCTCATAAGGATGTACTTTCAACATATATTACTTCCTTCATGACTTATTAACTAAATTAATTTTTATTTATTTAACTTTAAAAATAAATCCACCTTCTTAATTAAACAAATAGAATATGTACACATTCAGGAAATTACTCCTTTGATTTTAACTATAYTTAATATTTAACTAAATTGAAAGAAAACAGAGCCTTTTTTCATTCAGTACTTTAAAATTAAAAATTAGTTWCATGAAGTAACATTTAAAAACTTAATCAATATAACTTTCTCTGTTTTTCCTCCAACTATTTTATTTGGAAAATTTCAAACCTACAGAAAAGCTGAAAGAATAATGCAATGACCAACCATTTACCTACCCTTTGTCTAGATTCACCAACTGCTAACATTTTGCTAATCTGGGTTCTTGACCATACTGGTTTTTCAATATCTGTGAGTGTGACAATRTTTGAAGTGTAAAACAGATGTCTTGCATAATGTCTCACAATCTATATTTACCTTACTACTTTCTCATGATTAAATTCAGGTTAAAATTTTCGGTAAGAACACTACATAGGTGACAATGTACCCTTCTCACTGTGTCATATTCAGAGGTAAAAAAAAAAATGTCATTTTGTGTCATTACTGTTGATCACTTGTTTAAGGAAGGTTTCTTTATGATAAAAGTAACTTTTCCCTTCTTAATTAAGTAACTTGAGAGTAATATGTGGATATCTTGTATATCTGTTCATCAACAACCTTTATCTTATGCTTTTAAGTTCAATGATGAACCAATTATCATTAGCGGTTGTAAATTTGTAACTTTCTGATTTTATCATTATTTTAATCATTATTTCCTGGCATTATTCTCTAAAGAAGAGCTTTTTTCCTATCCCCCTCCCACAACTATCAAGTTTTAAATACTAATATCAACAAACTATCTTTAAAAAGTAGCTTTCACTTTTTGAACTTGATGCTTTCACAAGTAATTTAAGATGTTTAAGCCTTCATATCAGCAAATATTTYCTGGAAGGACTAATACAGGTGTCAAGGCTTTAGATTCTTTGCCAGGTGATTGTTGAATACCAAAAATAAATTTCCTTTTCTTTTGCTTTCAAAGACAGATTTTGACATAGGTCTTAATTGTAGTGACTGACAAAAAAAAAAAACAACAAAAACATATTTTACACTAAGAAAAAAAATGAGTACAAACAAAGAATGTTAATAATGTGAAGCTACTGTTGAAAAATTCTGGGTATGATCTAAGAATTACATTTGGAGATATGAACACTTACAAGTTAACAGCCTTAAAATCAATTTGAAAAACTGCCAAAATACATTGGTAAGGGTGCTTAGAGATTCACACACTTAAAAGTTTAAACTCCAGAATTTTACTAGATTTTTACAACAGTCTTATGTTCCTTCRATCTGAAAATTCAAAGTGTAAAACAGAGTGACAGAGAACTAGAGCAAAGGTGAGACTCTTTACTCTAACTCAAAAACTTATTTTCAAGATCACAATATTAAACAAGTTGAAGAATGAAGCAAAAATTGCAAAAGGAAAAGAAGAAAACAAAAAGGGGTGACTTATTACCCACAATAGAGAAGTTCACTTTCTGAATTCAATGAGTCAATAAAATTAAAGGGAAGGGATAGCAGGAGAACAAGCAATTAATAGGTATTTCTACCTACTAATGTAAAAATTTCAAAAGAAAAAGAATTTTATGTTACCTTATGTGAAACTGATTGTATCTATCATCACCAGATGGTTTTTTAATAGCTATAGCTAATTTCTTCCATCCTTCTTGAGGATCAATAAAATCTGACAACTTTCTAATTAGGCCAGCATTGAGGCAGCGCACATACGTTGATGGTGTTATGGGTTTGTTCATCTTCTATTCCTGAAATATGAAAAAATTCTCATTAAAATTTTACAGTAGTTTTGGAGGTGACATCTGTGAGCTCATATATCATACTTTGCTATACTGCACGAAAATGTTGGCAACTGATTATAACACAACAAAGCAACACTCCAAGGTCAACTAGTTGATGTCCTAAGAAGAAATCCAAATTAAAATGCATTTTCAAGTTGTCCTCTGGTTTTGCTTTATTTTTCCACCTATAAATATCAATAAAAACAGGAGGACTTTTTTTCTGACACTGATATTTGCCAAGTGAAATTAATACAATGCAGCAAAAATTTTAACTTTATCTGAAAAATTTCTGTGAGTATGTTTGGGAATCAAGTCTATTTATCTTTCCATTTAAAATACATTTTTTTCTATCAACACTTAACTATTAAAATCTATGCAATATTCTTTGGTAAAAGTGAAAAGTAAATATACTGAAATAATTTATAGCATTAAAAGATATATGGCCCAGATAGTTGTGGTGGCACTTGCCTGTAATCCCAGTGGCACAGGAGGCTGAAGTAAGAGGAGCACAAATTAAAGGCAGGCTTGGCAACTTAGTGAGACCCGGTCTTAAATAAAAAAATTTAAAAGGTTGGGGATGTAGCTCAGTGGTAGAGTATCCCTGGGTTCAATCCCCAGTACCACATATATACAAACACATACACAGAAGATATGGTCCATTCACATACTTTGTTAGGATGCTCTTCCTTGACCCCTTCACTCCTGCCAGCCTCACCTCCCCAACTCCTGGTATTGGGGATTAAAACCAGTGGCACTTTACCACTTATCTCCATCCCTGGTTCTTTTCATTTTTTTTTTCATTTTGAGACAGGGTATCCCTAAGTTTCTGACACTGGCCTCTGAATTGTGATCCTCCTACCTCAACTTACCCAGTGGCTGGGCTTGTAGGCCAGCCCTACCACACCTTAACCCCTACACATACTTTGAGTCCTTGAGATCTACCTCACCACAATTTTCATTCCCTACTAAGCCAAAAAATGTGGTTTGCCATTTCAACATCTCTCTAAACAGAACCTTTATTTCCCCAATCTCCCTTTTCTTCTATAACTTTACTCTGGAGATAGAAGCCAGGGATAAGTCTCACAAGTTTACTTGTTTACCAGACCTGTAGAATACAGCTGTAAAGAACTAGATAATGGAACAGACTGGTGTGAACACCAGTTTATKACATCCCTTTTCAACTGGGCATTCAATGCTGTTATTTTTACTTCTCTTGTGTCATTGTTCTTAGTGACTATTTCATACTTTTACCTCTCTATGTAGCTTTAACTTTTTTCATGCCCTTCATTCTCAGTAGATGGTGATCTTTCCTTCCAATGACTCAAGACAGATATTTTTCTGTCAATTATTTTTGCTTCCCTTTATTTATTTCTTGAAAATACAAAACAATGTATTTACAGAGTAAAGAATACATTCATAGGGTAAAAATTAAAAAGTTATAAACAAGAGTAAAAAGCAAAGTCTCTGTATCATARGCTTCTAGGTCAATATTCACTTCTTCTCTTTATCTTCCTTTGACCACCATATCTAAATAGGTTTACCTGTTCCCTACCTAGTTATCTTTCATCACTACACATATTTAGTTGTTACTTCATGAGTTYGGGGACCATACTGATTTTATGAATTAATATATACCCAGAGACTTGCACATTGTAGATACTGGTGTTCTGTGCTTATTTTAGGAATGAACAAATTATTGCTCAGTACCTTACTAGGTGAATTATGTCTTTCATTTAATCCTTTCAGTAACTAAGACAATTTTGCCACTTTTATACTGCATAGTAGTAACTGAAAGATCAGGAACTTGAACTCATTTGGAACTCTTGAGTCCAAAATTCATGCCATATAACCTTGCTTCTATAATTGATACATTGTTCATATCACTCTCTTTTCTAGAGGGACAATTCCTTTCCTTTTATTCATTTATACATTCAGCAAATATATGCATCAGGCTTTATACCAAAGAGAAAATCTTTTTTCTTAAGTTGCTCAGTCTAGCAGAGAATACAAACAATTAAAATCAATGATAARCAAAGAGGTATGTTTAGAGTGTTATGTGGCCCAGAGAAGGAGCATCAAGCAGAGGCAGTCAAAATTAGGTATATTAGGACATATTTGGTTTGGTGTCATATATTATGATATATTTGGTTGAGTGAGAGGTTAGTAGGATGAGTGAAAGGTTATGATAAACCCAAAAGGAAATTCTATATAGAAGGAACAGTCTGGAAAAAGATGAGAAAGCATGSGTTAGGCTCAAATAATATCTATTATAGCTGGACCACAAGGTGTATGTGATATAGTTAAGAGATGAAGTTGGWGAAACAGGAGGGCCAAATAATTACRTGCTCTGTAGACTAAGACAAGGAGTTTAAATTAGTATTAAAAGTTTCAGAGGAGCAACTTCATGATTTTTAAGAAGGGGGTATTATATGATCTTTGTTAAGTGGATTCCTCTGGATAAAAAATTAAAGAGATCAGTCAAGGTCAAGAGACCATATCAAGGCAAGGAGACCAGTTTGAAAACATCTGCAATAATCTGGATGAGCAGAAATGAAAGCCTGAAAAAAAAAGTATACTTTCAGGTAATAGACAAAAAAAAAAAAAAAAAAAAAACAGATGAAAAAGTTTAGAGACCAAATCAAAACAATTTCATAGCCAGGCAGAGTGGTTCACACCTGTAATGCCAGTGGCTTGGGAGGCTGAGGCAGGAAGATTGAAAGTGCAAAGCCAGCCTCAGCAATTTAGCAAGGCTCTGGAGACACTGTCTCAAAATAAATAAATAAATAAATAAATAAATAAATAAATAAATAAATAAATAGCTAGCCTGGGAATGTGGTTCAGTGGTTAAGTAGTTCTGGGTTCAATCCCCCATATCATAAAAAGAAAGAAAGAAAGAAAATTCATAAGAGATCAGAGATTAGAGGAAAGGGAGAGTGAGAGAATAATGAGAGGATGCCTAGATTTTTGTGAAATACCTATTTGTGGCACCATCTAGGAAAGGTGCCATCAAGTAGCTATATGCATGTCTGGAGCTTAGCAGAGCGGTTTCAGCACAGAATGCTCACTTATGTATTCTCATTTATGAATTGAGGGGCTGGGGTTGTGGCTCAGGGGTAGAGTGCTTGCCTAGCATGTGTGAGGCACTGGGTTCAATTCTGAGCACTGCATATAAATAAATTAATAAAAAGATGCATCAACATCTAAATTAAAAAAAAATTATGAATTGAGAGCATATTTGCATATACAGGTGAGAAAACAAGTTAAAAATAAATTTCCCAATTAGCAACATATAGAATGGGAAGGAACGAAGTAAAAGAAGCAATTTAAAAAGTACTTGATAAGTTATGGAGGCAAAAAGAAAATCAGGACAGTACCATATTAGATTTATAGAATGGGGACTGGTTGGTCTCCATTCTAGAAATCTAGAGAGGTCAAATAAATACAGATTAGTATGTAAAATTTGGAAACCTGAASGATAGTGGTGACTTAAGAACAGTACAGTGAACAACGAATGAATGGTAAAAATAGATTTTCCAAGATGTCCATCTATGAAGAGAAGGAGAGGAACAGGGGAAGGGAGTTGAAGAAGAAAAAGAAGCTGAAATATGGAATCTAAAGTTGTATCAATGAACACTGCACATTAAAATCCATTGCACTCAATGAATCTTTTATCCGTATGTGATTTGGACCTTACAGACTTTATGAAAGAGTTCCAGGGACCCCGATCACATTTTGAGAGCTTCTGGTTAAGAGTTTAAGGCTTAAGCTGGTTGTTGATACAAATGAGATAGTGAAAAGATCAGTGCTGAGCAGAAGGAAATCTCTTCCTCTGAATCTAAAAAGAAGCATAGAGGGAGAGTTCCCACACAATGTCATTTCCTCTATGAAGTAGGACACAAAGTCATCTAGGGCTAAGTAAAAGCTCAAACCCCTTAAGAGCCARCTACTCCTCTGAGTCCAACTCAGAAGGTAGTATTGGCTTTTCCTGACAATCAACTGTTTTGCTCCAAAATGTCACCTGATCATTCTTCTGTTACAACAATTATTATATTTTATTGTTTCTGTCTTCCCTGCTTGTGTATTCTCCTGGGTAGCAATTCAACCAAATTTACTTCAGCAGCTACAGAAAACATTTGTGCTGAATGAAAGGCTGATATTTTTAAATTAAGAAATCCTGTCTAGGTATAGATTATGCAGTTGACTCCTTCAAGTTATTTTCCCGTATTTATCCATATTTCTCTAAACTGTAAGAAATACATGATTGACAAAGCTAGAAAGGTACAAATGCTCAATAATTCTAAAAACTACAGCTAAAATGCAGGGAATTGAGAACAAAAACAGGCTATATCATGGTCAGAAATAAATTTTGTAACTCTCCTGAACCCAGATTTCTAGCTGAGATGATAGTATAGGGACATCAGGAAAAGGAAGGCCTTTCAACATCTCCTCCATAGATGTATGCCCAAAAGTTCTAAATTCCAGAATTTAAAATTTTACCTTATATTTTYATACCACCCCAACCACATATTTGGAAGAATATAAACCAAAATATTAACAGTGGTTATCTCTTGATAATTATTTTATGGTGATTTTAATTTTGCTTTTATGGCTTTTCAATAATGAAAATAAACTGTATAGAAAAACTAGAAAGTAACATCTTTTTTAAACTCCTTAAAATGTACTTTGGTAAACTATGCATTAATAGAAGTGGTGCTGGATCTATAAGTATCCTTATGATTATTTTCTCATATCACTAATTTCTATGGTGAAGACAAACCATTCATATTTTCAAATAAGACAATGAGGACAAGTATACTAGATGAGGTGGCAATATACTAAAATTGATGTCTGCTTGTGGAATCCAAATGCGTTTCTGTTCATATGCCCATGGGATGCCCCAAAAGACTTCAAAACATTTTTGTSAAATGAATCAATACAGTTTAAGCCTGTGATAAAAGGAGGGGAATGTATAGGGGTTGGAGAATGATGGACTTTGGGTTTGCATGGGTGTGGGAACAATTATTTTTTTGAATTTATTACATAACATTGTTTTTAAAAGTAATGCACAGAAATATATGTAACCTCAATATTTAGAGTAGTGTTGAAGGGTTACTGGTTGGGTACAAACAATAGATATGAGAATATAGCTGAGTTTTTCAGATGCTGGCAGTCTTATTTAATCAAGCACAGTACTTTTTAACATATTTGTAACCCTTCTAAAATACATTATTTGCTTTCATATGTTCTTAGCAAAATATGCCAAATAGTCATTAATGTTTATTTTTAAACACCTCAATATCATCACCAAATACAAAAACTGATGATAACTTCCTACAAAATTCTACAGGATAGCCTTTTCCAAACTGGGATATGTGCTGGCATATCATAAACAAACATGTATCTTTTTWAAAAAATGACTTAACTCAATGGTAAGTAATTTAAAATGTTTGGGGTATTTAAAAATTATATAATGTCATTCATTCATCCAATATTTACAGAGTGTCTCTTTGAGCTAGAAGGCTCCTGGAAATAGAGCTTTAGGACAATTGGGTGGTGGTGGGGGAGAATTAACTGCTGGAACTTATATTCTAATAAAGAAGTCAGGGAATAAGCAAATGAATGAATTCTATAGTATGTTGAAGTAAGGACACAGAAGCAGGAAAAGTCAAATTAGGAGAGTGTACCAACAATCTGATGGGAAATGCTGGCAGCTTGGATTAGTGGAYACAGCAGAGAAGCTGCAGAAGATCCAGGATGCTGGGTATATTCTGMGGTAGAGCCAATAGAATCTTGTGTGCTGAAGAGGGGAGGCAGAAGATAGCACCAAGGATTTGACTTGAACACATTTCTGACATATACTGACAGGAAGACTGTGGAAGGAGTAAGTTTGTTCTGGAAGATCAGGAGGTCAGTTCGGACAAATAGAAATCAAACTTCCCATGAATGTTTAGTATGAAAACAGGAGAATAAAAGAAATCTGAATTTTCCAACAGAGTCTACAGGATCACTACCAGAAAGGGAAAACGACAGATTTAATATCCTGTGCTTTTAAGGCGCTTGGGGCAGGCAGGTTTTTGAGATAYCAATAGCGCCTAGTTTCCATTCTCAGTGGCTAAAAGTATTTTCTCAGGGTTTGCTTTTTATCCTTTGGTGTCTTTTGCTTCCAAGTCGTCACGTATGTTCCAAATCTGGTAATGTACTTATCTGATCCTACAATGCCTCTCCACTTTCTAATTGGAATCTTGAAAGCCAGAGAAACTTTTCCCYGCCACAAGTATCTCCGTTGAGTGCTGACTTGACTTCCTGGTTCYGAGGAAAAAGGCTCAGGAACACACACCCGGGGAGCCAAGAAACACAGAGTATCTGAGCCAACAAATGGCTGGGTGACGCCCCTCCACGCCACAGGTTCATGCTCTGGTTTGACGAACTTCTGGATCCCCAGGGACCCACCAAGCTCTGTCCACGACAGCCTACTTCCTAACTTTTCTGACTTTGATGGTAAGGCGATTTGCGTTCTGCRGCGGTCCCGCGACAACCCCGAGCAAAGAGAATGAGGCTCGACTCCCACAACCTTCCGAGAAGGAGATGCACAGGCCGGAAATCCCTTACCTGCCGGGGAGTCAGGTGGGAGGCACTGACYCGACACCGCCAGGCCGAGCTAGCAGCAGAACGCCAGCGCACCCGGAAGCGCTGGAGAGGGGAGGTGCCTTTCTGAAGGCCACGCCCCCTGATTCCTCTAGGTGCCTGTAGGCGGCTCTACGACTGTAGAAACCCTTGCGAAGGTAGATTCTTTAAGGGTGAGCCTGTCCCTTTAAATATGCCTCCGTCGGAGGCTGAAAAATCAAAAGCTTCCGGACATGCGCAGAGCGTGCAGAGGAACGCCTTCTTCTGGATTTAACACGGGTGCGAGATTTTGGCGCCACGTGGGGATCGTATRTGTGTTCATGATCAGGTCGGGATTGAGGAGTCCTACTTTTTATCCTCAAGAGAAGGGTGACGTGGGCCAGGGTCGCGCCTTGTACGGGCGGGGCAGGGTGGGCGAAGAAACAAGTAGAGCTGCTGTCAGTGTTGGAGAGTGTTTGGATGTGGAGGCTTTGCGGCTCCAGGCTGTCGTTGGAGGGGTGGCTTCGGTAGGAGTTTCACAAGCCTGGGCGATTGGTGAAAGAAGAGGATGAAGGACAAGGAGCTACCCTTCTCTGTTTCCAACACCGTCGCAGTATCCCTCCTCAACCAGCAGTTCCTCAACCACTGCCAGYCAGCTGCCCTCAGCGCCCCACTCTTCCCTCATCTGCAGACTTCTGCCTGGGAGCACTAGCCCTTAATGCATAACTCCACTTGGGCGCCCTTTCCACCCTCAAGATCCCCTCAAGGTTTTTCCACCTATTTCATTAGTTTAGAAGTCTTTCGTATCTTTTCTTGGGGAAAGAAATGATGATCATCTTCCGGGGCCAATTCCTCCAGCTGAACCCCTTGTTTTTCTTCCCCAACTCTTATTCCATCAGATGCATCCTGCTCAGTTTCCTCAAAGTCGACTTAGAAAAATGTCCTTTTGGATTGTGTTCCTTTTCTACTCGAACATCTCCAGTGGTCAGCTAGTGATGTTGCAATCGATTCTAAATCTTTGACAGACCATTCAATGTCCTTCATACTCTGGCCTTAATCCAGCTGTTTTTTACAAAATTCGGTCAAAGTTTCCTCCCACCTCTAAGTGCTCTGTATCCGGGCCATTTTTCTCTAACATATTGCGTATTTTGTTTGCATGTTACTTATGCCTCTGTCATGTTTCTACCTCTTGAAATATTTCAAAGACTTAGATGTCCGCTTCTTATATTGTGTCTTTTCCGATTATCCTAGGCAAAAGTCACCTTTTCTTCCTTTTCATTCTTAAAGCTCTTATTTTGTTTTAGGTGTTTCATTCAACAATCAGTATTGATTATAGATTTACTGTGTGCTTGATGCTGTTCTAAACACGGGTTAATCAGTGCATAATGCAGAGTTCCTTTTCGAATGGAGTTGATATTAGATTTGGGAACATAGACAGTAAATAATAAAGAGAAACATTAGCTAGACATGCTATGGAGAAAATTAAATAGGATTTTGTGGAAGAGAATGACTTGCATATTCCTATGGATTATTGGTCAGAATAAACCTCTCAGAATGTGAATCCTAAAAGATACAGTTATATGATTAAGGACAAATTTAAGCAGCAAAAACAGTTATGAAGATAGTGAAGAATGGTAGTATAACTGGAGTATAGTGGGTAATGGGGTAAAGGTACAAGATGAGTTTGGAGAACAAAGGCAAAATGTTTTTGGAAGCCAGTACAAATAATTTGACTTTTGTTATAAATGTAATAAGAGGGCTTTAAACAGAGTTGTGATATGATTTACCTTTTTAAACAACATTCTGGATACTGCATCGAGAAGGACTATAGTACGCTGGATGCATAAGCAGGGATTAGAGGCCTTCACAAAGTCTTGAGAATTTGGGGGATGGAAGTATTTAAAGTAATGGTGATGAAAGGACAGTGAGAGTGATCAGGGAGTCATATCCTTACAGTTTGTACAGATTTTTTKTKTGTGTGTGTGAGAAAGTCAAAGTTATGACCATAAGAAAGGATAACAAAAATAAAGTGAGAGCTTGAGGATGAAATTGAGGAAGCGAGAAACCAAGAAATTAAATGGATTATCCATATAGATGATCATGATGTAATGCTGGATAAGAATATTGTGAACCAGAAGTTTTAAGTGAATAAAGAAAAGTCATCAGGAGAGAGAGGATGGCAGTGGAGGATAATGCCTGATGGCATGATCTGCAAAGGAATTGGGATTTTTAGAGGTAGGGGAAGAAATGATAGAGAAAGATCAGTGGGAAACAGAAAGTATAATCTCCAGGTCCTTAACTAGATAAGTGTAGGAAACAAACAAACAAACAACAACAACAACAACAACAAAACCACTTTACTTGAGAGGACTATTGAAGAAGGAACCTGGGGAAATAGCCAGGTTTTAATAAGGGCAAGAAATAGAAGGGACTGTGTAGGAAACTAAAGAATTAAGGAAAATGTATATATCTTCATTTCGTAAATTAGGATATAGAGAATTTGCTGTGATTTCTGCATAGCACAATGGAAAGGATTGAGAAGGGAAGTGGTTTGCTCAGTTGGTCCAGTTTAGTACAGTATATTTTAGAAATGAGATGAAGGTCCAGATGATGATAAATTATCTGCATAATATGAATAACACAAACTGAGTATTAAGGCTCCTAGACAAGTTATCTTTCCAACAGCTCCATAAGTTATGGTAGCAGTGGATTTTATTACTGAGTGAAGGTGTTCTCAGAGAACAATTCTCTTGTCTACTGCTTCAAAAAAACCCTGTAAGGGTTTCTTGTCTATGATGCCAAGGATATGATTACAATTTTTCTCTGAATCAACCTCACATTTTTATATCAATATTAATTGAGGGCTTTAGGGAAGGCTTAAAGTCCAGGACTAACCTAAACCTCCCATGAAATGTAAACTCATAGTACGTTGGCATTTAGAACTTTGTTAAGCTATCAATTTTGACTTTTTTTTTTCATCTTGTCCCCTCTCCTGTTTTAACTTCTAATATATAAAAACCTAGCCACTATTTCTCTGGAATTAGTTGAAAGTTTTAGGCTCAAGAGGTGGGATTGGACAAATCATTGTACTTGTCTTTTCTTTGTGGACCTACAGATGATTTTTTTTTTTTTTTGTAAGCTTGGAATTGATCCATTTTAATTCTGGACAGGAGGCAGAAGACTAGAGTGAATGAAGAATCAATTTATAAATCAGTAGTTGTACCAAAAATGGGTCAAATACACATGATTTATAGTCATAAATTGTTAATGTCATCTAAGGGGACTCAGGATTGAAAGGTCTATGTACATCTTGTAAACCTTTTCCCTTTTTTGTTAGCTACAACTTCTCTTTCTGATTAACTAATTGTCTTTTTGTTTCTTTTGTAGGCATTATTATTGAAGAATGGAAGAAGATACACATTATAGAATCAGGTTTAGTTCTTTGTGTTTCATCAATGAACATGTTGGATTTCAGGGTACTATAAAAAGCTCACCTGGTGACTTTATTGTTATTGAGATCRATGAACAAGGACAGTTAGTTAATAAAGCCATTGATGGACCAATTAATGCAGTTAGTAAAATACCTGAGCAGAATAATTTTGCCAAAAAGCCAAAATTAGATCTTCAAAATTTGTCCTTTGAAGATGGAAGTTACCAAGAACTTAATACTTTGTCTAAGTGCTCTGATGGTGACCAAAATCATCAGTCTAATTCAGAAAAAGAAGATACCATCAGTGATAGGACTTCCAAGTGTGAAGAAGAAAAAGCTGATGTATTAAACTTCTTTTTAGATGAAAAAACAAATGAATTACTGAATCAGTTTGCCTGTGATGTAAAAGAGAAATGGAATTCAGAAACTGAGCTAATTGGGCCATCTCCTGAATTCTCATTAGGCAGGATCCTTGACAAAAACCAAAGGGCTATTTTACACAGTGCTATTAGGCAGAAATTTCCTTTCTTAATAACTATAGGAAAAAACAGTGAAATTGTTATAAAACCAAATCTTGAATATAAAGAACTTTGCCATTTGGTATCTGAAGAAGAAGCACTTGACTTTTTTAAGTATTTGGATGCAAAGAAAGAAAATTCCAAATTTACCTTTAAGCCTGATGCAAACAAAGACCACAGAAAAGCTGTCCACCATTTTGTCAATAAGAAGTTTGGAAACCTTGTGGAGACCAAATCTTTTCCTGAACAGACTTACAGTGCTGGTGATCCAAATGTAGTAATAACAGTAAGATTTCGGGAAAAAACAAAGCACAAGAAAAGGTCTCTTCTTGAATGCCAGGAAAGAAAAGTGATATATACAGGTAACTAAATAATAAATCATGTCTTGGAATAGCTTACTTAAATTTAAAATTATGTGGAAGCTGAATACCTTCAATGAGTTGAGTAGACATGGCTAGAGAGATTCTGGGAAAAAAAATATACCGGTCTGTTACTTAAAGGAAGATGAATCCTTCCAAATTATATCAGTGTAAAAATTAGCCTGAAAACTTGGGTAATAAAGATGTTTATAGTTAACATAGCCTCAATTGTATCATGTTGAAACCATTGTTTTGTGCTCAAAAAGTTTTATTGATTTCACATTTTGAACATCAATTAAAATTAAGTTTTTGGAGATAAGAAGAATTTGTTTGCTATGTTTAGAAAAGTTGAAAAGAACCCCCCCCCATAACCCAAAACAATTAAACTTCCCTACYCATGGTAAAGGCTCCTAAAACTGGGCTCTGTCAGTCTTCTCTAGGATGTGCTCAAATTTTGGCATGCATTTTAATCATCAGAAATTTTTGGTAAAATGAATTTTTGAGTCCCATTCCAGTTTGTGATTCAGAAGGGTTGGAGGGGGACTTTACAAATCCTTCACTAATACTTTATCTATTGGTTTGGGGACTACATTTTTAGAATCACTGTTTTAGGGGATGTATAGAATTCCTAGGACAGATGAAATTGATGAAATCTCACTGTCAGTTCTAGCTGACAAAGTTTAATTGGTCTGTGTCCTGTTTGAAGAATGGAAAGTATTTCATATGGTCATGTTTTACAAATTTACTTAGTGAATTATTTAAAAGAAGACCAGTAACCCACGTTTGCA